TAAGCATTTAGGTAAAAAAAACTTATTGCATATATTGTGTGTGTGTGTGCTAATCTTTGTCGAATTTTCTGCAAGCAAGCAAAATATTTTCTGTTGGTCGAGCTGAGTAAAATTAATATCAAATTTATATTTAATCTTAGAAATTAATCTGTTTTGATTAAAAAACGGAATGACTATCTCTATTGTTATCTATCTTTTTCATTGAGGTTGAAATATCGATAAATCTCAATTTACACCTCGCTTTCTCTCTCTCTCTCTCTCTCTCTCTCTCTCTCTCTCTCTCTTTCTCTCTCTCTCTCTCTCTCTCGCTCTTTTATTCCATTAACTAAATTACATAATTTATCCGAAGGTGGAACACTCGGCACTAACGAATTGATTAGTTCACCTGCTCAGGTAGAGTCTCCAGATAATCGAGCAGTGCTCTTTCAAGTAGCTTGTTGTTCATGCCCTGGAGACCCTCCCCCACTGTTTCCAGCTGACCGTTGTCTGAAACAATAAAAATAATTGGCAATTAAGAGGGAAACTACTTAACTGTAACAAATCAAAGAAATCAACTTTGGGGAAAATAATTTCACAAGACCTTTTCGAGGGAGAGAAAGGCACAAAGGCATAAAGGCACTTTAGGAATAACAGCCCATGTAGAACAACAAGTTATCAAGTATCGTGATTTTGTTGTTCTATTTGAGATTAAGTGTTCAATATTGGATATATATTTCAGCTATCATGAAAATTCTTCAAAAACTTCTTTTAAACACTTTTCTCGAAACCACTTTTTTTCAAATTGGCGTAGAAGATAATTTAATTTAACTAATCGATCGATCAACCTTTACAAAAATTTAACTAATAATAACTAATTAATCACTTATTTTCAGTATTGAAAGTACTGTTAATAATACTTCTCAAGCAGAAGAACAAGTCGCGATAACGTCTAAATGACATTAAAATGAAATCGGGAATGATTGAAAAATGACTTTTAATGATCATTTTGGGGTCATTTTGACATCATTTTGATCTGTTGTTCTGCTTATAATACTCAAAATAAGTGATTAATTGGCCAGTACTAGTATGAGAATACCTCTTTATATACCCAAAAAATTTATTTTGATGTAACTAATGATTTTTTTTTAATTCATAAAGCTCATCTGTTTTTTATCAGAACTGTTAAGGATTTATGCAAGCCGTAAATATTAATTTATGTCATAACCAGTTAAGTTTTGTATAATAATTTCAATCCTTTTGTTTGTAATGACCGGATGCATGTAACTTATACCATAAGCGTAAAATTAATTCAAATTTAATTTTTACGGCAAGTGGCAGCATGTAAATCATGCGACCTGCATAAATGCTCCTTTATAGTAGGTTTCCTCTTCACAATAGCGATGAAGAACTCGGTTTCGAACTCGGTTCGTAAAATCGATTCAAGTAATCGTCACATTGAAACAACTGATTCGATATTGTTATTCACGATATTTTGAAAAATGAATAGTCTAGAATCACATACATTCATATCGTATTGAAAAAGGTGAGTCGCAATTAATACGCAATTAATATTCGATTTAAGAAGTTTTATCGTGTTTGGAGCAGACAATTTATTATGTTAGAAGAGCCTAAAAAAAAATTTTTACATTATAATTATTACACGTATTATTAACGTCCTTTTATAATTACATATAATCTGATTAATTATTAATTTAATAATTATTTTTTTAATAAAAAAGTGTCAGCAATATTCATAAGAATTATATGTAATATTAAAATATAATACTTTTAGCTTAAAAAAATAATTAAAAAATAATTGTAAAAAAGGACATTGTTCTCGCTACTTTTTATCATGTAATACATTAATTAAATTGTGACAAATATTTAAAACTAGCTTTTGTACCAAAAAAGCGCACAAATTTAATATTAAGTATTAGATAAACAACTCGGGCACAAAAAAAAAGGATAATATAATAAGTATTATTCTTTTTTGTGCTCGATTTGTTTATCTGATATTTAATATTAAATTTGTGCGTGCGCTTACACATTTTTGGGTACAAAAGCTAGTTTTAAATATTTGTCACAATTTAATTACTGTATTACATTGTAAAAAGTAGCGAGAACAATGTCCTTTTTTACAATTATTCTTTAATTATTTTTATTGAGCTGAAAGTATTATATTTTAATATTACATATAATTCTTATGAATATTGCTGACACTTTTTTATTAAAGAAATAATTATTAAATTAATAATTAATCAGATTATATGTAATTATAAAAGGACGTTAATAATACGTGTAATAATTATAATGTAAAAATCTTCAAGCTCTTCTAACATAAATTGTTTGCTCCAAACACGATAAAATTTCTTAAATCGAATATTAATCTCATATTAATCTTGCGACTCACCTTATTTAATACGATATAAAAAACGTATGCGATTCTAGAACATTTATTTTTCAGAATATCGTGAATTGAGTAATAATATCAAATCAGTTGTTTCAATGTAATGATTACTTCAATCGAGTTACGTACCGATATCGAAATACATTCTTCTGTATGACGATTACTTAAATCAATTTTACGATACGAATACGAAACCGAACTTCTTCGCACAGCCCTACTTTACAATACATATTCAATACGATATACAACACAGCAGAAAAGTCCAATATGATATACAATACAAAGATCTCTCTCTCTCTAATACGAAATTTACAAACATATACCGAAAGTTTATTCTTCCTCGACTTTATCGAAGTCTAAAAAAGAAATTGTTCTTCGAAACCTTACCGCCAGGTAGGAACTCGATTTCCTCAGTGTCCCCGTCGTAATAGCGGTCGAACTTCCGAATGTTGTTGCCGTCATGGTACTTAAATGAGTGCAGGTCATTGTAATACTCCGGCGAATCCGCCTCGTCCAGGGATCTTTTCTGCTTCCGCAGATTGTTCCTGAGGAGCTCATCATGGAATTGCCGAGCCGCGGGAACCAGCGTGATCGCGCCGGTTCCCAGGATCAGCAGCGGCAGGATCCATCGTGGCAATGCCATTGTGCTAGTCAGCAGAAACGTAATTGTGTTTAATGCACGAAAGAAACATTGAGAAAAGAATTGGAGACACATGCGTGTTGTATTTTTTCTCATTTGACACTTTTTTTTTATTTAACACATAAATTAAAAGTATACACAGAATTAACGTAACATTTTAAAAACAGTAAAAAGATTATTTTGTATAAAAGAATATGAATTTAAAAAAAAAATTTGAGAAAACAAATTTGTCATTTGTAAAAGAAAATATTCTATAAATAATAGAGATATACAGAAAGGATATATTATTAGTATTAATTTAATGTTTAAAATTTTAAAAATCAATTATGTATTATAATATAAAATATAGATTTAAAAAATTGGAAAAGTATGTCAATTTATCAATAACATTTTCGATCATCAAGTGTCTCATTATACCCGACAAGTTCATTTTTTCAAAAATGTTTTAAATTTTATATTTCTCTGCGTCGGTCGACTTTCTGTAAATGAAAGTTTCTGCTGTATTAATCTGTGCATTCTTATAATCAATATATTGGATGATAATAATAAAGGGAGATTATATCTTTCATTCTTTCATTAACGAAAATCTATAGTGATCTTATATATCATCTTTATAAATTTGGTATTATAATTTTTTTTTTCAATACTATTTAAACATTCTAAAAAATATGGGTGTGGATTTATCATATAAGTGTTTTAAATAATTCTCCACACCATGTTGGTATTAATATAAATACCAACAGGGGGTGTGGATTCGACATCATGGATTTTGAAACATGGTACATATTATATGTATAAATTCACATTATAGTTATATCAACATTAACACGATGGGAGTTATGAACATATGAGTTCCGCAATGGTACCAAATACACACCCATATTTCTTATGGTGAATTTGATTGGATGTACTTTTTCTTCTCGTTTTATTGGTTTCGCAGCCTAATCGGCTGATACTAAACCATCACGATGATCTTCGAAATTGGATAATTCGTGTAATGGAGATGAAAACTCAAGTAGAACAAGTCACGATAATGTCAAAATGACATTAAAATGAATCGGAAATGATAGAAAAATGACTTTTAATCATCATTTTGGAGTCATTGTGACATCATTTTGATATCATAATGACTTATTCTTCTGCTTGGGAATGCACCTCGAATCGGGCAGATCTAACAAAAGGATGATGCAATCAAAACGGAAATGACAAAGTGCCCCTTCAGACACTGGGCGCCTGCGACTACGATGCGCGTTCAGACGAATGAAGGGACTATGAATTGTGCAATGTAAATACGTAGTTAAAGCCGGCTACGCTTTTCAAAAATATAATCGAGGTGACGTAACATCCGAAACGTGATGAAACACACGTCCGACCCACTCGAGTGGTCTCACGAGACTTTTATTGGACGCACTAGCGCGCACTGCTGCATATTAAAGTCGTTGTACACTGATTTATCCTGAATGTAAAAGTAAAATGCAAATATTTCGAATTATAAAGTATTTTTTTCAGTACTATCTAAACATCCTAAAAAAATATGGGTGTGGATTTATTATCATAAGTATTTTAAATGTAATTCCCACCATGTTGGTATTAATATAAATACCAATGTAGGGTGTGGATTTAACATCATGGATATTGAATGAAACATCATGGTATTACAGATTTTACCTAACAGCATCATAAAATGTATTAAGTATTTCACTGCTTAACCGATTTCTGTGTTCATAATAAACACATACATTTACATCAATCTGTGTACAATAGCTTTAATGTATAACATATATCAGTGCGCACTGAATGCGTCCAATCAAATTTGCTATTAAAGTGAGTAAAAAAACAAGCTCCTTGATTCGATTTTGCGCTCGATGCCGTCAGATGCGTGCTTGTATTCTATATCTTGTAATAAATATATATAGATATACTGATGTCTATTTTGCATACTGTGTACCGAGCTAATATCGATTTTGTTAATAGGGTAACGAAGTCCTTCGCGCGGATGAAGACGTATCGAGGAAATCTATGATGTAACGTCAAGACAAGTCCAGAGATCGGAATAGCTCTTCGTGAAAATCCGATATTCATAGAAAAACTCATCGAACTTAATATCAAAACTCATTGAATTTAAAATTGAACTAGAGAATTAACCAGAAAGTAACAGTTAGATTATAAAAAGTGATTAAAAAGGAAGAAAGGAAATTGTAAAAGAGTTCTCTCATATATCTTGTAATTAAAAGTCAGAATAAAATTAAATAAAATGAGTTAAATAAGAATATTGTAATAAGACGATAAATGGGGCATAAATGGAATACAAATTACATTGCGCAAACATCCTTTCCTTCAAGGTCGATAAACATAAAGAAAAGTTTGGTAAATAAATAAACATAAATTATAACATAAATCGTAATGCTTGCAAATTTCTCAAATTTGCAAGAGAGATGTTTTTATTTTGTTGACAAAAACTGACATTAATGAAAACTGGCGTCTTAAACAAAAGGGGAAGTTACCAGATGGTACCGACGAACGTGAAACTCGGTTGAATTTCGCGTACTTATCGCGACTGCACGTGTTTACTAGTGTACGTTTCGTAATCGGCGAACAACGACCTCGATTGTTGATATCTTATTTTGCAAATTCTCGCAAACGAATCCGGGATCCGGTTGCGGGATCGGAGTGAATTACGACGTGTCCTGGTCTTGGCTGCGATCGATAATATTACACGCGGCTACGTGTCGCAGGTCAGATTTACAATTAAAGAACATAATAATTTACATTATCATTATAATTAAAAATTTTGTAGATTGTCGCAAAACGTTCCAAGTAGATCAGAAAATTATTGTGACATCAAAAATGGCTCTAAAATGATTATTAAAAATTATTTTTTAATTCGATTATTTATTTTAACGTCATTTTGTTGTTATAGTAACATGTTGTTTTGCTTGGGATTCCAGGTAGAATCCAAGTAGAACAATAACTAATCATCAAAATGACATTAAAATGATCGGAAACGATTAAAAAATGACTTTGGAGTTATTTTAACATAATTTTGATATCATAATAACTTGTTCTGCTTGGATCCCAAGAATTACACACCAAGTCAAGAAAAACTCAAAATGACTTTATTTTGGTGTCATTAAAGTCAAAATGATGATTTTTTGTTACAAAATTTAACTGTTTATTAACGTTAAGAATAAAATCATTTTGCTTTTTTTTTTTTTTTTGTTGACTTCTATGTATTCTCAAGGACAGAGTCATCATAAAATTGTAATGATATCACAGAACGTCATTATGACGTCATCATTAAATACTTAAAAAAAAACGTATGTAAATCACAAACATGATCATGGTGATATCTTTATAATATTATTATGACTTTTCTGTGTTTTTGTTTTACTTGACATATGTCGCAATTGGAGAGCAAGTTGCGGAATCAAAGCAAATACCAAATTGACTATGTGGACGATGGGGATTCTAATCAACACGGCGTAGGAAACAAAATTAACTTAATTTAATTAACAGAATTTGACAGACAGGTGGATAATACGTAATGAAATGTGGATGTACCTGATCAATTTAATCTCTCATCCACGTGATACCCTTCAGGATAAACAAGCTAATGAGCAGTTCTTCTCTTTTTCTCTCTTTTCTTCTCTTCTACGCCGTAACGTTGTCGACGACGATGCCCCGGATGTGCATGCAAATCCCGACCTGCTCTTTCACGACCTGGAGAACTGTCAATGGCGGCTGCTTTTATATAGGCTTTTATAGGATGGATCGATAGAATCGCGCATGGAATTCATCGCTGTTGGTGACGGCGGCGGCGGCAACAGCAACAGCATCATCAGTAGCAGCAACAAGTAAAAGACAGATGGGACGCGGAAATCTCATCCGTGAGAGAATTAATTCAAAGCAGAAACGACGAGTCACATTATAAATGTCAAAACGAATCGTGACTGATCGAAAAGTAATTTTTAATCAGCATTTTGGAGCGTTTTGATGTCATTTTGATGATTTTTTTCTGTTCGGAAAAATTCAGATACCAGACTGAAAATTTCAATGGCTCTTTTTCATCACTTATTTTCTCGAACTGGATGACCCGAGGAATGTTTCCCGATCCTTCGGGGCGCGAACCCCGCCTTCCAGGGCTGCCATTGACGTACACGGCGCCTTTGTGCAAAAAGTATTTTGCTGTCCTTAATATTTTTATGTGATGAAAACGGCTTTATGTATAAATAAAATTTGCTAAATAAGAAGCGTGAAAAATAAAGTTAAAGATATTCTATACAAGATATTCTATAAAGATTGTTTTTTACAATAATGCGTTGTCTGCAATATGCGGAGTAAGCTTAATGTAAGAACTGTAAGAAGTAAGAAATTGAGTCACAGTCGAATGTGAGACGAATAATCGATTATAATTGGTCTATTTGTTATTCTTACTTCTTACACCAAGTTTACTCCGCGTATTGTAGATGACGTAAGATCTTGCGTAATCTTCCATGCTACTTATTTAGCAAATTTGATTAATATTTCTATTTACCAATCTTTTAAATAAACTAGCTAACAGTATAAATTTTAACTTTTCTAATAATATACTGAAAAAAATTTCTAGTTGAAAATGGACGGGAGAATCAGAATTTTCTGATTAAATTTATTAGAATTCTAATTAAGATAGCCGAAAATCTAATATATATAATATTCCTGGGAATATCTATTAGGATTCTTATTTTTACCAGAATAATTATATCAATCAGAATTCTAGTTATTTCGATTAGAATTCTAATAGATTTAACCAGAAAATTCTTATTCGTCCATTTTTCACTAGAATTACTGTTTAATCCAACCAGACCGTTTTTCTCAGTGTAGCTGGAGTCTTCGTGAAACAGGGCAAACTTTTTATTGCTTTAGATTAACCCAGGTAGAATACACAGTCATAATTAAGTTATAATGAATCATAGGATATCATGACATTATTTCATATTTAAAAATAAACTTTAAGTGATAAATAAGATCATAATGATGTCCTTATAATGTCGGAAAAAGAGTCTGGTAAGAATTCTTGTTGAAAATAGACCAATTAGAATTTTCTGGTTGAATCTTATAATTCTAGTCTATCTGTTTTCTTCTTCAAGTGCCATACGCTATCTCAGCGCGTAGGCGTCTCCCTCTCATATACCTTTGCGCGCACACTGATCGAACATAATGTATACATATGGGGACAGTTTAAATCTGCCAATTCTGAACGGCAATTTTTGGTAGGGAGGTTTTCTAAGCAAGTATACTACTCGGTGGTTTGCTATTGCCTTCCTGAGAGGAGCTACGGAGTGTATGAAAATTTTTCTGTCTAGGATCGAACCCAGGATCTCTAGTATATCAGACCAATCTATCTGGGATAATTAAAAAGAATTCTAATTGACATGACTTTCTGATAGAAAAGTCTGGTTAGATTAATTGGAATTCCGATTGAAAATGAAGAAATCAAAATTTTATTTGATTGAGAATCTAATATAATTCTACAATATATTAGTTGAGATAACCACAATTCTGATTAACATGGTCAGAATTTTCTGGTTGTTCATTTCCAGCTAGAAATTTTTCTTAATATATTATTGCGACTTCTACTTGAGGAGCAGCAATATCTATTTAATCGAAAATGGAATTCTTTCTCTTAATTGAATTAAGATTAAGATTAATAAATGATAATAAGGCTCTGTAAGTATAAAACAATATATGCAAAAGAAGGGCAAAGAGCCAGTTATGTAGTAACAAACTTTAATTAAATTAAAATTCACATAAATTACAAAACGACAAAACAAACGTTTCGACTCCGCTCGAGTCATTTTCAATGTTGCGGTAATATTGAAATATCGCTATAAAAATATCTATGGTATTACATTCTTCATATCGTGTAGTGCCTTGCGAGTCAGTTATATCAGAATTCAAAGTAGTCAGAAAAACATTCTAGAAACGTGACTATGAGCAAAACATTAATACTTGATACATGCGAATTAATAATATAATCATGTACCTCAACAATATCGGTAAAAGTGTTGAGAGTCCATTAATAAAGAAGAGAGAAAACGCAGGCAGATGGTAATCCATATCGCACAATGGTTTTTTAAAAAATTCTTTGAAGCAAATTTGCAAGAATAGCGAATATCTGACTTCCACAATATCGAACAACGGAATGTCGAAAAAGAAAACATTAATTGAGAACAGAAAACGGCCAAAAAAGGGAAGGGGGGGAGGAGAGAAGGAAAGAAGATATTAGGAAGGAGAAAGAGAATGTATAATGCCAGAATACGCTTCGTATTCGCTTTCGCAAAGATTCCGTGTCATTTTGTCCGTTTATTCCATGTTTCTGTTTTTTAATGTGTACTATTTCAGATATTAATCTTTTAACATATTATATGAAGGTTCTATATCTAATATGTCCATTTTATCCTATTTAAAATTGTGATTCTGCTCCATACGGT